ACTAGTATTACCATGAACTCGAGGTGGTTGAAGGTGGGAAGTGGACCCGAAGCGCAAGAGCCGTAAGAAAGTGTGCGTGTGCCACCTCTCGTTTAGTCCTTGGAATGTCCACTGAATGGCGGTGCTTCTATATGGGGAATATATGATAAAAAGATGTGAGATGGTGGGACTTGGAGTGTTGAATAGATGGACGAACGGACACACAGACAGATGCATGGATGGACGCATGAACGGACGCACGCACGGACGGGCGGATGGACGCATGGACGGTCGCACAGACGGTGGACGGACGACTGCTTCGCCCCACTCTCCATCATTCACTCCGAGGATAGGCTGCCAATTTTTTTCACTTGTAAGAAACGTGTTCGTTTAATACAGAGTTTAAAAACTAAATGCAAAATCTCTTTCGGGAGCAACACTGAACTATTTCTTCATGCGAACGCATCTAGTGCAAGAAGTCTCGCTTGTCTCAAAAGCATATTTTATGGGGTAAGCGGCTCACAGACTCCCGTCGGGTAGAAATACAGGCGTTACATATACCGCACATAGAGCGTTCATGGCACGCATGCAGGTTTTTACAATAGACCGTACCCTGTCAGTGCATCTGTCTTTCCCATCTGTCCACCCGTGCATCTATCTGTCCAGCCGTCCACCCATATCTGTCCGTCCATGAACGGACGAACAGATGAATTTTATAAACATTATTTTATTGTTTATCGTTGCGTCAATGAAGCTTCGCTCCGTCGCCGGCATTCACTTCGTGGATAAGCAGCAACTTTTTAAACCTCCTTGGACAGACCACAGGAAGTGCTGCACATACTTTCCAGTCAGCGCACACATGTATGACTACAGTACAACAATTTGTGCAAGCTTCTTGAGCAAACGTACTTAATGATGGAGCTTGCACGAAAGACTGTACATGCGTTTTCATCCACCGAATGAATCAAACATAAAGTTTGGTCAAAGAAAGCGTAGGGGACATTAATTGTTGCATCTATCTATATAGCATGGTAAATTAGGTGCACTGACATTAATTGAAGTGGATGAGAAAAATACTGCGGAGCGACGAGGCACGTAGCTATGAGTGTTTCCACTGCACTAACGTGAAAAATGGGAAGGGGTGAAGGATGCAATGTTTTGAGAGAGATTCTTTAGCGGAACACTAGAGGTGCCACGCCTGAAACCAGGCATGCATGGAAAGATGCCTTCGCTCCACTAACCTATTGTAGCAAAACAGCCATTTGGGCAAGTTGGTAGTGGTTGGTTGTGAAAGAGGTCACAATGCTCCACTAACGTAGTCACAAAACTGCATTATTATTATTATTATTATTATTATTATTATTATTATTATTATTATTATTATTATTATTATTATTATTATTATTATTATTATTATTATTATTATTATTATTATTATTATTATTATTATTGCCTATATGTATGACTCACACCCACTCTGGGGGATTTCATTTCATTTATTTTACCCTCAATCGCTCTCACATAGCTTTGCAGAGGGGAGTCGGGTACAAAAAAATAATAAACTATAAACAAGAGCAAACATAGTAACATGAAAATAATAAAGATTACAAGACATGAAAGTTCGATGTTAGGCAATACACTTAATGTATGTGTAAGTATCATCAGAAACATGAGGAAACCAGAGTACAATAATATATATGTACAATATACACTTCACGCGTCATCACGTAAGTAATTCTGTATTGTAGAAGAAAACAAGTCATGATTTGAAATGGAAACCATGTCCGAGGGAAGGTGGTTCCAATCGTTGGATGTGCGTGGGACGAAGGAATGATGGAAAGTGTTAGTGCGACAGCTAATGACGTGTACCTTATGTTGAAGATCTAAACGGGCTGAGTAATAGGATGGAGTGGTAATGAACTGAACTTTTAAAAGTGGATGATGGAATATCTTCCGAAAAAGTATGAGAAACGAATAGGCCAAGAATACGAAACCATTAGAAACGAATAGGCCAAGCAACGAATAGTTATATTGAAGGAATCACATAATAATTGTATATCTGATGCATTATAAAATGGTTAGAAGAAATTATTTTTGTAATTTAGAGACTTGCGTTCAAAACACGTCCTAATTCGAGTACGAATCTTCCTGCAGCGGAACTGATATACCGGTGACAACGACCAAATGAGGAGGCTCCCGAAGAGAGGATATTGTAAATGACGAAATCCAATCCAACTTTATTGAAAGCCACTTTAAGAATGTTTTTCGTTCGGTAAATTGAAGCGGCTAAACTGTAAAAAAGAAATGATGCTCGATTGTTTCATATTGGTACGAAATGAGCAAAGAGGGCTTATACTTATAGGCTAAGGCTTCTTCTTGCCACATCGACTGTGAGGTGCCTGCTTCGTTTTATTCCTTACTACATGCCCGCTTTCAGTTTCTACGGCATGTATTGTTGGGCTAATTGTTGCCGTGTCCAACTTTAGTGTACCCGTGGCGAGTAGTGAGATGCCCTCCCCCCCCCCTTTTTTTTATGGCGCGTACTCGCTTATGATGGACCGCGTCCACACAACAAATTTAGTCCGCCGAGACGAGGTCCTCATTGGAAGAGTATACGTTCAACTTCGCTTATCAAAATACGCATCGCAGGTTACTGCTCTATAGCATGGCACGTGTAGACAATGCGGCGGACGTATTTGGTATATCGCTTGTTCCTGCGCTTCGTCGTGAAGTGGCCTTACAACCGTGACCTCCTCATTCACGGTGCGAGAATGATATGTTTAAACTTTATAGGATATCGAGATAATTTCTACAATATTAAGAAAACTTATTTCTCTGACGAATATTTTTCATTCTAATTACGTACCCCAGTATCAGGACAATTTAGAAGCGTGCGATGTGGATTAATTTCATGTCGTCATGTTAATTCTTTGTCGTCATGTTAATTTCGTCGTTAATTTCGTCATGTTAATTTCGTCATGTTAATTTTGTCGTCATGTCGTCATGTTAATTTCTTTTGTCGAGCCTGCAAACGCAGGCTCGACGAAAGTGCTCAGTTCCTGACAAGTTTTGGTATAACCCCATTTGTGCCAATCATCGCTTGCATTCTCAAGGGAAGCGCTGCTGCTTGTTTCTTAGGCACAAAAGTGGTCAACATATGCATAAGGTCAGTGGTGAACCCGCTTGTCGCTTTTCGTACCCACATATTGGCGAGAACTAACAGACAATAATGCTAGGGAAAGTATAGGAAGGTCACAGCTTCAGATCCTGCTGGTGCCGAAGGTCGCAGGTTCGGATCCTGCTGATGGCAAGTTATCTTTTGTTCCACTTTTCTGTCTTCACATTTACACTACAAGTTCTCGGGTTCGAATCCCGCCGGCGGCAAGCTATCCCTTGGTCCGCTTTCCTTCACATTACACTGCAATTACTTCTAATAACAGCGCCCATACTTTCCCTGGCATTAGTGTCCGGTAGTTCTCATTAATATTGCGTCTAATACAACAAATGAGCCCTCAGGTTTGCACTTTCTTTTCTTCACACCCATCTTGTGTTGCGGCGGATTCGTTATGGTCGAGGTTTGCTGTGTATCGTGGATAGAAAGTTATCATCGTCGTGAACTGGCACACGCTAAATGACCGCCCAAGCGCCATGTACAGATAAGAGACGTTGAAACGTAGCGAGGCATCTGTACGACTTCCGTGCCACAAACGCATTATGGGAATTTCACCGCAGAGCTATTATGGCTGAGGTTCGCCGTGCGCCGTAGATAAAAAGCTATCATCACCATAGACCAGCACACGCTCGGTGATCACTTAAGGATTCTGTGCAGATGGTTAACGAGATAAGTTGAAACATGCCCATATTCTGTAACCTAGCCTTGCATGACTTGGCGCTGGCTCGGCTAATTTGTTTCTCGTTGGGAATGCTGTCCGTATGAATCACAATGTGACTGCAGTCAATCACATTAACAAGTTTAAACGGTGGTTAGCTTTGTAAGACGTATGAGCGCGATAATGCATTCACTTCAACGTGGAACATATTCAAACGCAGTATACAAACTGCTCTTGCACGATCGAACGATATTTTACAGTAAATTACCTTTAGGGACCTAGATAGGAAAGTGACACCCGTCACAATAGACGACATTTTTCTCACCGATGTCTATACTAAACTTCACACAACCTGCAGGTCGCGGGTTCAAATCCCGGCTGCGGCGGCTGCATTTCCGATGGAGGCGGAAATGTCGTAGGACCGTGTGCTCAGATTCGGGTGCACGTTAAAGAACCCCAGGTGGTCAAAATTTCCGGAGTCCTCCACTACGGCGTCTCTCATAATCATATGGTGGTTTTGGAACGTTAAACCCCACAAATCAATCAATCAATCACACAACCTGGAAAAATGCAGTGATGCCAAGCCACAAAGGCAAGTGCATCGAAAGTGTCCGGGAAAACAGATGCCATGGAACTTTGCACGAGTGCATAACGAACAGAGCTAAGCTATCCGGAACTCTGAGTTCACACTCTTGGTCGACGTCTGAAGGTGACAATTAGCGCTGCGGACAAATATGGACCACCGCGGTTCCTCTAACACGCATTTAAATATATACAGCGCGCGAACATTCTTGCATTTTATTCATACTGGAATGCAGCCGACGCATCGAGCAGTCGAACCCGCAGTGTAACATCCGACAGCGGCACAACGTAGCCGATGAATTCACCGACAACGTCACAATTACCTCCGAGGGAACTCAGGCGCATTTTTTGCACTCCAAAACCCGTGCGTCGCGCGAGGAACGACTCAATATCCGGTGACGACGCGACACTCATTCGGAGAACAGAAAAAAAGCGACGACAGTTGTTCATGTCACCGCAATCTCGTCATCGCATGCGAGAACACGCGTAGCAAAAGAAAAAAAGATCACCACCACTCCTCCCTCTCCCCAAGTGTTCCGCAACATCCGAGCTTAGCAAAGACGGGAGAGGAAGGCGACATCATCGCAACGCCTGTCGCTAAACGCTCACCTTCCATGTCTTTCACCGGCGTGCTGGCGACGTAGCTGGGAGTGCTAGCCCAGTCGGTAGCCAGGCAGCAGTCCCCGGCCTGGTACGCAGTTCTTCCGGCCGACGGTGCGTCTCCTCCGCCGACCGGCGACGATCCGGGCTGGAGGTAAGCCTGTGCGACCGGAGGCTCATTCGCCATGAGGGCGGCGATGCTGAACGTGTTGTGGGATGACCGTCCCGTGTCGACAAGTTCCATTGTCTGGCGCCTGCTCGCCGAGGTGTCGACAGGGGCCCCCGCAGGCCGCGCCCTCCGCCCACCCCTCGCGGGAACGCCCTCAGACGAGAGACTCGAAAACCGACCCACCTCGGGTTCTGTTCCCTGGGTGGTGTTTGCGCCGCGGGTGGCACCCCGAGATGGGTCCGCCTCCCGGGTGCCCACCCTTTCGTCGTCTATTTGTAGTGCGGCAGAGCCGAAAGAACTTAGCGCAAAAAAGAAACCGGCAGCAGCCTCTCTGCGGCAGCGGCGATCATGCTGCTGCTGTTGCCGCTCCTGTCGCTTGCAATGCAAGCAACTTCATCGTTGTGCCGCGGTTCCAATGCTGTGCCCACACCACGTGCGAGAAGCCGGCGCGAAGGAGGGGCTTCGGTTTTGCGGCGTCGTTGCTCTGGAGACATGCCAGGTCCCACGCGAACACCCTCCCGCTCGCCTCTGCAAGGCTCGGGCTGGATATGGGGTGCGGAGAGTGAGTTCCAAAGCTTTGCTTTGCTTCGTTGTTGCTTGTGCGCTGCGCTTCGGCCTGCGCGGTGTTGCGGAGCTTGAAGAAGGGTGTTTGTCGGTGATCGTACCTTGTCATAGGAAAATGGACCACTGCTAAAAATTTTCAGCAAGCCAGCGTAGATCATCCGTGACGTGCGCTGCTGTTAAAGATATTGAGGGTATGTCAAGAAGGACACGACTTAGTAGTCAATGGCGAAACTCGGCTTCTTTCGCAATGCAACACTTTCGTTTCCTCAGTGCTTGCACAAGGAAGCAAGGAAATGAGAAGACAGCAAAACGATGGAAATGCACACGTTCCTTTGCATGTCTTTAAAGTACTCTTAAACCATGCATTTGACTTGGTTTATGTGTAAAAGGTTTATGCTCATGGCAGCCATCGGTGCAGAGGTGTTGACGGACACTGGTGTGTTACGTAATACACTAAAAAACGCAGAACACGCACACGTAGCTTCTGGTCGAAACCGTCCGCTAGCTTTATTGGTCTGATTTTAGCTCGCAACGTCTTTGAAGAGTGCCACACCTCCTTGCAATGTGTTCAGTGTTCTTCGAATAGACAGTGCTAAAGTACTTCAGTATGTCGTCTTTGCAATGGAATGAATTTAATCATTGCACCTTGTCGGAAGGACCACCTCGCGCCTTTCATTAGTCTTCCTCTACATATATCTCTCAGTAAGTTAAGAAACTTCCAAATCGTGTTTAAGCTCATGATGGGTAATTTGGTCATAGAAAGAACGAAGCCACAAGGAAATTCCTGTGGACCTTCGATAATGCTTTAGTTTTGACAAAAATTGGTTCTGATGTGGTATGCCAACGTGGGACAAACGCCTTCTTCTGGACTGTCGCTACAACAGCTGAGCGGACCGGGAGGCTACGAATTCCGGCATGAGCTGTTTATCCGCATTGCGAGGTTCTGCTGAACAGATGTGCTGTCTAACTTTCCATGCTACCCTGTTCGACCCTTCATAAGAGTCAACTATGACTTTTCGAATACAGGCAGTGAGCATACAGGTAGTGAACAAAGATGCTCCACTTGTGGGCTCACACGTCAATGACGCACAGGCGCACGTAAACATAAGAACTGTGAAATAGACGTATTACGTCACTAAAACTACGATAAAAGGCGTATTGCTATATCAATGGGTTCGTCCTAAAGCCAGATGGGGTTCATTATTGAAGAAAAGAAAATTGTGACGAACGGGAATGCAGGAAGGTATTTCAGCTGCGCTGTAGCATGAAACATGAGAAGGGGTGGATGGAGCATGCAGGGTGCGCCGGTGTTTACCACAGCAAAAGTTTTGACTCTTTACTACTTGACTCGCCAACCGTATCAAACCATTACTTTGCAGATATGTTTCAAGAATCGGTTGTTAAGTGGATTATACTTTACTGTACGTTTGTGTTTCTGTTTTTAGATAAGAAAGTCGAGCGTTTTGGTAAATTTCATCAAAGATTTCGACAACGCTCTACGCCGAATATAATTTCAGGCATCAATGCCTGTTCATTCTTGATGCCTGCGCATCAAGAATCAGGAGGCGACCGACAACCTCCGTCACAATCTTCGACGAAGCTTCGTTGAATAGCAGCCCGGAGACCGTGTCGGGGTATGGACGCCGATACGCCGACGTGGGCTCAGTGAAAAACTTCTGCGATGGTACTTTTCGGTACGACTCGGCCCATTCAACTATGAGGTTCTTCCCGACAGCGTTAAGAACTCTCAATGGCTGCCGTGCTCGACTCGAAGTCGTCCATGTCATACGCCTCAAGCCATTTCATGCGCGAACCTAATTTGTTGTTGCTGGGGTTTATTGCTTGTACTTATTGTTGATTTTATTTATTGTTGTACTTTCAGTCTATTAGCGGCGAAGCTCCTTATGGCGTGGCTTGCGCGTCCCGTTGTCGAAGTACGTAGCCTTTGGCACATGCCCGCATACCAGTGGCACATACCTGACCTCGGGCACATATTATGCATGTACACATGTTACGAAAAACGTAGCACGGAGTCGTTATGACGCTCTCAGTGTTAACGAAGCGCTGACAGCAGAAATGTGGTTTATGCTCTCTTTTAGTCCTTGGATTGTCCGCTGGATGGCGGTACTTGTTTATGACGAATATATGGTAAAAAGAATCAAGATGGCGGTACTTCAAGTGTTCACTAGTTAGACAGACACACGGACGGACAGACAGGCACACGCATGGACGCACGCTTAGACGGACGCACTAGCGGGCGCACGTACGGATGGACAGACGCACTAACGGGCGCATGTATGAACGGATGGACGCATGGACGCATGGACAGATTGATGGACGCTTCGCCCCACTCGTCATCATTCATTCCGTGGATAGGCTGTAATTTTTTGTTAAAGCATCGGAACGATGCCTTTTTCAGAGGGGGACAATGCCACATTATCTCGTCATGTTTTGTTATCACCCCGTTTCATCATAGAAAAATATGGTATATAAAGAGTGGCCACTGGAGCTTTTTTGTGGCCCAGCAAAGAACGGTCTGGCCCATCGCTAAATTATCTCGTCATGTTTGTTATCACCCTGTTTCATCATAGAGAAATATGGTATATAAAGACTGGCCACTGGAGCTTTTCTGTGGCCCAGCTAAGAACGGTCTGACTCATCGCTAGATGGCCACTGGAGCTTTTCTGTGGCCCAGCAAATAACGGTCTGACCCATCGCTAAATTATCTCGTCATGTTTTGTTATCACCCCGTTTCATCATAGAGAAATATGGTATATGAAGAGTGGCCACTGGAGCTTTTTCGTGGCCCAGCAAAGAACGGTCTGACTTATCGCTTCATGGCGTACCCATCCTTGCTTTTATTTCTGTATTAATTCATTTATTAGCCTTATCAGGAGTACAATTAACACCCAAGTTTGGCATCATTTTTGCAAAAAAGAAATTTCGTTAATTTGTGCAATTTTCCCTTATCTGCTCCACATCATGTCCCGCTGAGGACTTTTAATGCCTTACAACAGAAAACAATGAATTATGACTAAAAAGTGTTGTTTTTCTAGATTAATTTTGCGCACAGAGGCAAAAATGCCTCTGTGCTGCAAATGTATTCCCGTCGCGGAAGTAATGGTGTGTAGCCTAGTGAAAAAAATGCCCGCAGCTTCCCTCGGGGGAACACTGAGGAGGATGCGGACCATATAATTGGTTAACGGGGTGTTAAAGTGCGACTTACTTGGGTCGATGGCTGAATTGGTTAACGTGGTTGTGAAATGGGGTGTTAAATTGCGACTTACTTGGGTCGATGGCTAAATTGGTTAACGTGGTTGTAGGAGGGGGTGTTAAATGAGTGAACACGTACACACGTATGCGAAAGGGCGGCGCTGGTCGAAGGGACGTCGATCATTGTGTTTGTGGATTCGTTGGAATTCATTTCACCGCGACCTTGGACGTCGACGCGCCGTACAAACCAACCGACGAGCGGAAACTGAGCGAGCGAGCGCCGACCTTGAGTATATATACAGCACGACGGCGCATGCACTGTCAGCTGTTGAATGTTCTCGAAGCGCGACGCCACATGCGCGTCCACTGGAGAATCAGGAGAATTGTAGATGTCGAACGCGGTGTGTAGAGGAGGAAGGGTGCACAGATGGTGGAGGAGTGAAGCGCGCGCGGTGTGTAGAGGAGGAAGGGATGCACAGATGGTGGAAGAGTGGGCGACGGCGCGACGGCGCATGCGCGCGCGTCAGCTGTCGAATGTTCGAGAAGCGGTGCGGACGGCGCACTACAAGGCGCGAGTATAAGATGCTTCCGCATCTAAAAATGGCAGCATATCCACGGAGTGAATGATGGAGAGTGGTGCGAAGAATTCGTCCGTCCATTCGTTCTTGCTTCCGTCCGTCTATGCGTCCGTCAGCGTGACCGTCTATGCGCCCATCAGCCCGTCCGTGCGTGCGTCTGTTCGTGCGTCCGTCTCTGCGTTCGTCCATGCAGCCGCCCCTGCGTCCGTTCAAGCGTCCATCCATTCATCTGTCTATGTGTCCGTTCGTCCATCTATTCAACGCTCCAAGTACCGCCATCTCGCATCTTTTCATCATATATTCCCCATATAGAAGCACCGCCATCCAGCGGACACTCCAAGGACTAAACGAGAGGTGGCACACGCACACTTTCTTACAGCTTGCGCTTCGGGTCCACTTCCCACCTTTAACCACCTCGAGTTCATGGTAACTAGTTCACTGTATTCAAGGCACTGCGGCCGAACACTCGCTAAACCTTTCGAAAATTAAGGAGGTTACGCCCAGCGAGTATGACGTAGCAAACTTTTTCAGTCAGATAGTGCTCAATGTACATGCCAGTGGCTGCTAATGGGAAATGAGAGGCGGAGAATTCGGCTTTTACTTTCTTACGGCTTGCGCTTCGTATCTACTTCCCATTTTTAACCACCTCGAGTTCATTCATGGTATATACAAGTTCATTGTATTCATGGCACTGCGGCTCAACGCTCGCTAAACCTTTCTAAAGCTAAAGAGGTTACACCCAGCGAGTATAACGTAGCAACCCTTTCTTGTCAGATAGCGCTCAATGTACATGTCAATGGCAGCTAATGGTGATCGCAGCCTGCGCGTTAACTAAAAGCCGAATGCTCCTGTCTCTCATTCCCCATTAGCAGCCATTTACATGTACATTGAGCACTATTTTTCATTGTTCAACAACGCACAGAAGAAGTCTCTCACCGGCACCACCTTGTAGGTCAAAATGTTATACTAGTTACATCCTACGGGAGACGAACGGGTGCCGCTATAAGAAGCTTC